TGCTGCAGCGGCACCGGTTGCCTATCCATCGCCTGACAGGCGCGCTGGGCGCGAGCTCCTTTAGGTGCCCCGGACCGTTTTTAAACCATGCCCGCGATCTTATCCTTCTGCTTTCTGGACACGAAACACGCGCGGCCGCAAATCCGATATCGTCTTGACCTTGGCCACCAGAACAAGTAACTGGCGCGCTATGTGGCGCGGTGTATACCATGGCAAGACTATACCACAAAATCAAACCTGTCATGTGGGTTTGCCCTTACAACCAAGGAGGCATTTCTTTAAAAAAAAAAATCAGTAAACGCCCATTTGAAGAAAAAAAATAAGGAAAAAAATCAAGAAAAAAAAAGGAAAAGAAAAATCGGTGTACGCAAAAGACCCCTGGCCTATGACTCGTGGATGAGCGTACTCACCGTGATGGCCCGCTTGGGCCCCGAGCTGATGACGCCGTCCGGTCGGAAGCACACGGCCTGGTAGTCGTAGATGGTGACCCTGCGGTAGATGCCCTCCCGCACCATCATCTCCATGATGGCGCCCTGCACCTCGCCGAAGAAGCGGCCCGTCTGCGCGAGGTCCTCGGCCACGATCACGAAGCCGTGGTTGTCCAGCACGAAGCAGTCCACCTCGGCGGAGGAGCATGTCTTGCACTCCTGCGGCTTGGGCCCGCACTGTGAGAGGGAGGAGGGATTCGCACCAGTCAAGAAAGTTACTCTCGTTAAGGGGTTTATAAGATCGGACACATTTTTAACATCTTCATAAAAATTTTGAAAATTTTGAAATGTCACTAGAAAAATTGGAAAAAATTAAACTCTTACGGGAAAAATTAGGAGATTTTTCAAAAAAATTCCTGAGAGTAACTTCGTGGAAAATGAAAATGGTCTTACCCCGAGGAAGGTCGGCGCGGTGGAGGTGATGTTGGTGAAGAGAGTGTGCAGTGCGGAGTGCTGCACCTGGAAGCCCACGACGGCGGCGGGGGCGCGGCTGCCCTTGTGCTGGCCGGCGTGGAACACGGCGTGGCTGGCCGTGACCAGGGTGCCGTTCTTGTAGCCTGCGGGGGTGGGACAGGGAAGCACGTGACCGTGAGCTAGGGTCGCGCGGAGCATTCGTCCAGGAGGGCCAGGGTGACCCTTTCCAAAAGATTTGTGGTGATCATATGAGGAGGTACATAACATTCTAAAGAGTAATCTATCGCTGCGCGGCGCTCCTCCACCTGTCCCACCCTCTCTCTACAACTGCGCGGCCGCCTGTGTCAACAACGTCTTCCATCACATGTTAATTCCGCCACCGGGATGATACGAGCGCGAGCAGGCGAGCAGGGTGGGCGGCGGCGTGCCTCCCCCCTCCTCTCTCTCTCTCTCTCCACCCCTCTTCCACCCCTGCTCTCTGCTCCCTGTCCATCAAATGACAGCAGCAGCAGCAGCCCGGCCTACTGCACCTCCGACATGTGTGTATTTTCCTATGTATTCGGGACCAGAGGTCTCCTGTCCTTTTCAATATCTGCGGGGTCGGTATATGGTAGCCGCGAGCGAGCGCTAGCTTGTGCCTGCGCTGCGTGTGTGTGTTGTCTGTGTGGGCGAGTGTGGGTGAGTGGGTAAGTGCCGCGTCCCGCACCCTCCCTCACCCCAGGCCACACCCCAACCATACGAGCACACAAAGCTCGGAGATATCGATATCGATACCGCATCAAAGCAAAGAAGCAAAGGTATATGAGGGAGAGACACGCAGCCATCAGGCAAATAACTTTCCTCTCCGCACTGGCTTCCGAGAAAGTAGTAACATGAACGTTTCTGCGTATATTCGGCTCCTAAAACACGCCGGTATACTGTCAGGTGGACAGGAGAGACAGACAGAGAGAAAGGGGCGCACCTGCCGCATCTCTGTCTCTCTCGCTCTCTGTCTCTCTCTTGTCCACCTGACAGTAGCGGCGCACCGTGATAATAAGGGAGGTCCGCCTCTTTATGTGATGTCGTCGTCGTCTCCGGAGATTTTTATTCCCCCCCCCCCCTTCTCTCTCTCTCTCTCTCTCTCTCTCTCTCTCTCTCTGTCTCTCTCCCTCTCCTGCTTTTATCGTCGCTGCTCGTCCTGGATGGCCATTGATGCTGTTGTCGTACACTCTAAATGGGGAGGGACAATTTTTGTACCTTAGTTAGATGTGTCTTTGAGCACATCTTCATCAGATACAAATTTGTCTG